CCCCTCTTTTCCGTTTAGCACATAGGTTTTATGACCCCCCTGCCCCGACTAATAGGCAGCGGCTAATCTGTTTTACTCGCGAATGTCGTAATGAATTATAAGACAGAGAGAGAGCCAGTTCTAGCCGCGGCGCTCGGCCCCCTAGCCTGTCCTAGGCGCAGCGCGCGGCCCACAAAGTTTCTAAACCTAACCTAACCCTAAAATATATACTAATCTCTCTCTTCTTATAATTCATTGCGGCATTCGCGAGTAACAGAGTTTGGCCGCTACCCGGTTAATAACGGGTACACTTTTAACTTCAATATAAAACCACTTCATGCAGTTCCGCACAGGGGTACAAACCAACCCCTTCCCCCCTCCTCGGTTAGGGGGTGCACCCTCCCTCCAGCAGGGTCAAACAAGGTTGTTGACATGTCACAGCCCGGTTGTTTTAATGTTAAATGTTTTAATGTTAGATATTGCATGTTATTAAATCCTGTCTGCAGCATAAAGGGTTATTACCAGAAATCTAATTAAATTTTTGCATAAAACTCCCCTTTCATACCCCCCCCCTTAACAATGTACTGAAGCTTCCGTAGTTTACTTCCGCCTTTATCTATGTAAAAAAAGTTATCTGAAATTATTTTAAAACTTCCTTCTATATTAAACTCCCTTCGACGTTATGGATTTTTTACAAAAATAAAAAAATTAATATAATTCTTTATTTCAATGAAAAGAGATTTTTAAAACTTGTACCGCAACACGAAATTAGAATAGGATTGAATGTTTTTCAAAATTTTCACTTTGGTCTCTAAAAACAGAGCCAAAAAGCACAAATTTACGGTTCTTAGAGAAATATCACTACATATTATCAAATGAATCCGAATTTTTATTCTGTAATACCATTGCACTAGCAAACTCAACTACTCCTTGCCGGTCATATTACAAATACCATCAATGCATCACCCCATTTGACACCATANAGATAGTCAAGCCGGGATACTAGATAGTCAGGCCGGGATACTAGATAGTCAAGCCGGGATACTAGATAGTCAGGCCGGGATTGTAGATAGTCAGGCCGGGATACAAGATAATCAGGCCGGGATACTAGATAGTCAGATATAGCTATACAATCAAGCAGTCAGAGATGGAATAATAACAGTCTATATATAGTCAAGTAATCTGTAGACGATAGTCAAGCAATCATGGACGAAAGTCAAGTATTCATAGACGACGGTCAAGCAATGTTAGACGATAGTTAAGAAATCATAGAGAATAGTAAAGCAATTTTAGACAAAAGTCAAGAAATAATTAATGATAGTCAAGCAATTTTAGACAAAAGTCCAGAAATCATAGATGATAGTCAAGCAAATCATAGATGACAGTCCAGCAGTTTTAGACGAACGTCAAGAATTCGTAGACAATGGTAAAAAAATCATAAACGATAGTCAAGACATCATAGACGATAGTAAAGCAATCATAGACGATAGTCAAGCAATCATAGACAAATGACAAATCAGCAATAATTTAGGATTAAAATGTGGTTAAAGAATTTAATCGACGTATCTACCTATATCGTTTTAACTATATATACTACTTATATGCATACCTATCTATCTATCTAGCCTAACTAAAGAATATCTGAATATCTCTGTCAGACGAGGAATTTTCAAATATGAATAAATTATCTAAAAGAGAAACATATGAATGGAGTATGGACACCCATGATCACTAATAATAGGAGAAACTTTACAAATCCTCGACCCAAGACCTCAGAGAGAAGTCACGTGCCATAGCGAGTTCACAGTTCGGTCCTTGTCCAAGCAAGCTCACCCTTTCGATCCCAATTTGACCAATTCAATTTTTTGAGACTTTCATGTCGGCGGAAGCGTTTAAAATAAAAGAAGTAAAGACAACTTTGAAAGTTTAAAGATTTTGAATTATGGAAGAAAAAAGGGATTGAATAAACACACGTTTATCCTTGGTTAGTCCAGGGGGTGGATGGAGGGGGGGGGGGGTTCAAGTACAAGAAAGAACGTTACTGAGTTTGAGATTTAGTTTTATAGATTAAAATATTATCTTTTTTAAATTAACCTACCCTAAGAAGATGTTCTCCGGTTTGAAGTGAATCCATGAAAGTATCAGCTCTGATCTGAATCCAAGGGTAGAGAAGGTTCAACCACTCTGCTAAATCCTCCTTCATAGCGTACAGATATTCATCAGCTCTAGAGAAACTCCGGAGCTGTCGTTTCTCCGAGAGCTGAAGGTTTCCCTCCTCCTCATCCAATTCTCCGAACTCAACGGAGAGTTTGCGCTGCTCCGACTCTCGTCGTTTTTGCAGCTTTAGCTCCAGCTCTGTGCTCAGCTGTCTCTCCAGAGAATCTTGCTTCTCCTCTAGTTCCGGAGAAGCAGCACTGGAGCCGCAGGAACCAAACCTGCTTCTCATTCTTGGCTCCGGCTCTACAGAGCTCCTGGTTCTATGCTCCAGATCTCCGGAGCTAAACCCGTCCTTTTCAACCATATTCAAGAACTGAACCATGTTATGATTTTCAAAAAAAAAAATTTAGAGTATTAAATTAAAAACTATACGTACTGTTAGCATGCAGATTTATCCAATGACCGAAAGTAATTCAAATTATTAACATTTTTTGTGTATTCATAACAAACATGAGATTTTCCTTTTAATGTTTATAACATTCAGTTCTCAAATTTTCTGTAACAAACTATGTAAAAGTTCGAAATGCTCTCAGATATTTGAAATTGGAATAAAAATGGAGTTTTTGCCACAGTGTCAGTTTATCTAATCCATATATCTTTGAAACCTGATGGTGTAAACCTTTGCTATTTGAAACATAGACTATTTAAAGTTTTAACGTTCTACGACAATAAGTTGTAAAGATTTGAAAGTTTAAGTTCGTAGCAAAGAGTCAATTCCTTTTTAGGGTTTTATATCGGTGTGTATATAAAAAAACCAACATTTACAGCTTGTTGTGAGATTTAAACTACGTTTTTGGGCCGTCAAATCCTTATCTTCGATTACAAACGGGATAGAGGAAAGTAAGAAAAGAGGTTGTATACATTGCCGTGCTTAGGATCCGGATCCGGATCCGCAATAATATGCAGATCCACGGAACCGGATCAAATGGGTAGAATATCAACCATAAACTGCAAAAAAAAAACTTTTTTACTACTAAAACTCAAATCTGAACTTTTGAAGAAAAAAGATTATAAAAATTTCCTCATTTTTGAATCGTTCATCAAGTTTTAGGATAAAAATAAGTGAAAAAAAAGAAAACAAAAAAATTTGAAAATTATTTTTTGTTAAAAAAATTCAGTAAATCCGGATCCGGATTTGGCTCCGGATCCATTTTTTTCAGTGCGGATCCAGGATCCGGATCCGCATAAAAATTAAATGGATCCTAAGCACTGCATTTACGTATTGTAAACAAACAACGTTAAAGGGACTTCAAGCGCAATTTCAAAGACAAATATGACAATGCCAGATTCACAACGGTACCCTTAAAAGATTTGTTTGATCAACTAAATATCAAATCAAAATCAAATCAAACAAATTTAATTTCATTTTGATTTCTCTACAAAAGTGACTTACGCATTTCTACTGCAAGAAAACAAGTAGAAATTATCGAAATAAAATATTGTTAAACCTAGATAAACGACAATATCTTTCAAATTATTGATTAGACCACGGTTTTAGGAATCCCATTGTTTACAACATGTGTCGTCACAAACATTCAAGCAAACTCCTTATATAAATTCTACTCTCAAAGTGTCATTATGACAAACAAAATTCTGAATTTTTCTTTTTAGAAAATGATTCCTTTTGATTTCCCAGGTTGAAACAGGGTTGGATTTAAAACCTGTTTATATCACTCATCTATCACTCATTTGTCACTCATTTTGTTTCACTTTGTTGTCAATTTCCTCTTTTCTTATAAAATTTGGAAGACTGATGAGCTTGGGTGAAATTGGTTTCACGTACAACAGAGCACTCTCATTTTGTGTTATTTTCAAAAATCTGAAAAAGAAAAAACATCAAAAATTTTTTTCATTAATTAACAATTTTTTGAATGTCTACGTGTATGTTTAAACGATGTGATGAATGAATCAAAAAGTCGTAAATTCTAATCTTTCCAAGTTTTATTTAATTTTATAATTTATAAAGTTATAAATCTTGTTAAATAGCCGTTACAAATAAAAAGTATAGGTTGCAAGTGATTTTCTACTCTTTAAAGAAACTCAGTTTGTTTTTAATCTTCCTGACAGAAACAATCTCAAGAACTGACGATGGTTAACCCAGACCGAAATATATTTTAATAAATGTGGAGTCTAACATCTACTTTATTTACTCTACAGAGGTTTTGTCCATCACCACTACCTAATTTTGAATCTAACATATCGTTAGTTATATTAAACGTATCGTAATTTGAAATAACAAACGTATGATCGATTTAACGAATAAACTGATAGGAATAATAATTCGTGAGATATCCACAACATTATGTTTAGCATTCAGAACAAAATGCTAGATTTTTTCATAACAGGATTTGAACTATTGTAACAAAATAAAACTGTCAATTTTGATAAATGTTAAAAATATATATAACGAGGGTAAGATATTTAGATCAGGATTCAAACTTATCCATATTCATCGCCCCCGCCTTTATTGATAAATATCAGTTTATAACATATTTTATTTTGATTAGAATCAATCATGATAAGATCTAAAACATGAATCATAAAAGAGAGTTAAATTATGGACAGGGGGGAGAGGGTTTGTTTACATTTTACAACAGCAGTTGTCGTATATATTACCATACTTTCAGTAAAAGTAAATATATCCATTTACTGTTATAACGCCGATATAAGGATTGATCTCTAATTGGATAATGACATAGAAAGAAAGATAGATATTACCACCATACTATATCTATTGGTTTAGAATAGACAACAAACACATGACTGAATCCTTATTGGATGAGGCGCTAATGGACCCGGCATACAGGAGTGATATGTATTAATACAATAAAGACAAATAAAATAAAAGTCCTAAACCCTTTTTTCCTATAAGCTTGATGTACACATTGTAATTTGTAACTCAATTTTGATTGAAATGATACAGTAAAAGACAACTTGGCGGTATGCTAACTCCGGTACAGACTACATAATTAACTGCACTTATTGCACTGTAGCCTGGAGGGCTTCTGATCTGAGAGGGTGTATATAAACAGAACATGCAGCAATTTGTATCTTTAGGAACCAACAATTAAGTTGTAAAACACAATGTTGGTATGCATAGTTACTTCATACTCTGAGAACATAAACGTAAATACAAATTAGCTCTGTTTGCTTTTATACTCTGTGTCACAATACAACAAGCTTTTGTGCATAGTGTATAAGTATTTAATTGTAGCAACACCAAGCAAAGAATTGTTTAAAATTACTGTATACTCGTGCATCAGGGTGCACTGAAATTTCTACGGTCATATTGTAAAATTTTATAAAGCATTTTTTGTGCTCCCATTTTTTTACATTTAAAACAAAGTTGTACCTTTTGAAAATTTCCGTTTTTACAACCATCCGCCCCCCCCCCTCTCATTCTTATTCCTTTACACGTCTCAATTCAGACATTACTTTCTATTTTGATGATATTGATAAATATAATTTCTAAAGACCTAATCCTAAATCAGATTGAAAATCTGAAGAGCTCTATGGCTGGCCGGATAAGGCCATGTAATCCAAATCAAAAATTTCAAAAAATCTACAGGGTGTCCTAAAATTAACGCAGACTGTTCAATAGTGACTTAGGGTGGTCCAAACTGTAACTCAATTTGTCTCAAAATTTTCAACAGGGTATGTTTAAATATTCCATTGGTTTTTTTGAGAATATATTATAAAATGTTAAATTTTTGAATTTTTAAAAATTACTCAGCCAAAGATAGAAATCAATTTTTTTGACTTTTTTTTCTAATGATGAAAGGAAAATAAATATATTTAAACATCTACATTAAATTTGTAAATTTCTAAATTTCTAAGTTTTTAAACCCAAGTATAACTTTATTTCGATTAGTGCAATCAATGTTTCGTTAATATGTAGATTGTGAAAGTTATGAAAAGTTTTAAAATATTTCAAATAAGCATTTTGTATTTCTATTAACATAGTTTAACCAGAAAGGGATGACACTTCAGAGACGACTGTACGGAATGTATTCTGTTTTGTTCCGTATATTTAGTAAAACATTCAAAACTATACTCAAGACAAAAGACTTACCTTAAACTTGGTACCAGTGTCAGGTCGTCTTTCCAGTATCATACTGTGTGGGTAACCCTGTATAATGAATATATATATATATAATCCCCGAACATACTGTTGTATCATCTCGATGTTCTATATATGGTTTTAGAGCAATATTTGTAAGTATATTTGTGCAGGCCACCACCGCATTCTAATTTGTACATGTCCGTTTATTCTCAAATATTATATTAGTCCCCTTGAATCTTATTTTCAAATCACTAAATAGGTGAAAACCTTTAATATTTTAAACTTTGACTATTCAATCTAACAGAATTCACAGTTTGAAATATCTTAAGTCTACAACATTGGGTTGTAAAGATATAAGGATTATAAAATCAGAGTTTGAGGCAAAGACTCAATTCCTTTAAATAGATGAAAACCTTTGATATTTTAAACTTTGATTATTCAGAATTCACAATTTGAAATATCTTAAGTATACAACATTGGGTTGTAAAGATATAAGGATTAAAATATTAGAGTTTGTGGCAAAGACTTAATTCCTTTTTCCGGGAAGTTGACATTCAATCTTCAGAAATAAATATTTTTGAGAGGAGAGGGGAGGGAAGAGAAACATATATTTCTGAATTTCTTTTTAAAAATGACTTAGGTCAGTAAACAAAACTTTATGACTTATATTGACATGTCATATGTGTCAGTGAAGTGCACAAGAAAAGAATGTGAATAATTTATACATTTTCTCTAAAAAATGAATATTCAATTTTATTATAATTTCTTGTATCCCTAAATACCTGTGGACACATATTCTGATTTAGTTAAAATGAAATTTGAGATTTTTCGAAAAGTTATATCATATAAAATAAATCTAAGATATAAGCACAAAAACGCTCTATATTAAAATCCTAAGGAATTATAATAACTACAGGTATTTATATTTAAAAAAAAGTTTGAAATATCAAAGATATAAAACATTGGGTTGCTACGACAAAGGGATTAGAAAATCAGAGATTTTGTCCTTTAACTGGTTGCAATTCAAACTTTTACTTTTCTTGATGCCTCTTTAAAAAAGTGGATTGTAAAAAAAAAAATGTTGACCCTACATTTAAGGCATTGAGTAATTGCCACAAGCTCAATATCTTTGCAACCCAATATCAGAGACCTTGGATATTTTACAAACAATGAATGGCATTGGATTACAAAACTAAGTTTGAAATATCAAAGGTTTACACCATTAAGTTGCAAATAGTGAATAGAAAATTCTAGTCTGTGGCAAAGACTCAACAACTTTAACAAAATCAGGTTGACAGAGAGAGAGAGGTAAATCAANCTCATTCCTTATTCCTTATTCCTCATTCCTTATTGTCATTCCTCATTCGATCCTCCTCCCTCCAACTTATCCTCAATCCTCATTCCTCATTCCTCATCCTCATTCCTCATTCGATCCTCCTCCCTTCATCTCATCCTCAATCCTCATTCCTTATGCCTAATTCCTCATTCCTCATTCCTCATTCTTCATTCCTCATTCCTCATTCCTCATTCCTTATTCCTCATTCCTTATTATCATTCCTCATTCGATCCTCCATCTCATCTTTATTCGATCCTCCTCCCTCCATCTCATCCTCATTCCTCATTCCTAATTCCTCATTCTCCATTCCTCATTCCTTATTCCTCATTCCTTATTGTCATTCCTCATTCGATCCTCCTCCCTCCAACTCATCCTCCATCCTCATTCCTCATTCCTCATTCGATCCTCCTCCCTCGATCTCATCTTCATTCGATCCCTCATCCACATCCTCTATACGGTTCTTCACATTTTTTTATAATAATTTTAGGTTTAAAAATTTAAAATTTTTATACTAACATTCCAAAACTGAAAATTTCGCAGATTTTCCTGTTTTTATTGGTGACTCCAAAAAAAGTTTTTTTATTTCGCTTGGTCAAAAACCTTCCCCGAGGTCCCGTTTATTGGATTCAACAATTCAATGGGCAACGAAATTTTAGATACTAATAAAATACACCTTTGGAATTAGATACGTGAATATTTTAAATCAAAACTGGAAAATGTTCGAGAGAGTATTTTATAAAAACTTCTCTTAATTATTCGAGGATTTTGTTTCTCTTGTATATCGACCTCCAATATTTTCCATAATCACCCCCCTCTTCCTCCACCTTCTCTCTCTCTGGCAGGAATCTATATGAAGAGTTAGTTTATTTAAACACAGATAAAAATTATATATTGATGTATCTGCCATCAACCATGTCCGGGGTCCGTAATTAATGTCGAGATTTTTTATTTATAGTGTTGAAAGATCAATATATAATATTAATTATAATTTTTAATCGTTCATTGCTATTTTATTGACAACTGTTTTGCATTTAGATGACATAAAATAATTTTTATGTTTCAAAATAAAATTTTTCTTTTCCAAATTTTCACTCTCCCATATTTCCAACTACTTCATATTTGTAACTTGCAATCTGTGAATGAGACGCTTACGCGAACGTTAAACTTTTTTTCAACCCTTTTCATAGAGCTGGACGCTGAAGATCAAAGAGCTTCTGAAACAAAAGTACAAGAAACCCCCCCAAAATTATCTTAACAATATCAAATTTATCTAATGCTCCCCAGTATTCCCTCGGACCAATACATAACTTAAAGTCCTCCTTTCGTAGTATAGTATTCCTCGCTTCGTTTTCTCTGACATTAGTAAATCTACCGCCCGTTGAAGTCTCCGGGCTATGGCATTGAGGTCTCCAAACT